GCAATGCTGCCCCAATCGTCGCGCACAACAGGCAACGCCACACCAACAGCTGACCTACATCCCGGCAGGATGGTTTACGCCCGCGACTACCGATTCGGCCAACGCAGATGGGCACTTGGGACAATAACAAGACGACGCGGAAACGTTCTGTACCGAAACCCGTAGGCCGCGCGTAACGGGTCCCTAGAAGTTCCCACATGGGTGCTTCGGTCACGCTCACGTTGGATCTACACTCCACTGCCTTGTAGGTCAGACTTGGATCAAATGCTCCAGTCAGCATTCTCAAAGAAAACCCTTTCGTCATTGTGGTCAACCGCTAAGTATGTCATACCCTAAAGTCTTAAACACTCATTTGGGAAAACTCTTTCTCCTCTACCCAATTCTTCCTTTCACTCAAATATTAGGAAGTGTCTTCTGTTTGCGCCACCCATCGGATATCGCTCAACGTTATACCAATAAAGCCAAACCATCAGAAGTTATAGGATTGTTGAAGCCAAAATCCTCTCTTCACTTAACCGCATTCAACTGCTGCGCACTGTCAGACCGATTAACAAGCTGCCTCAGCTAGAACCCTTGAAACTTTCAATTTAGACATATGTTGTTTCCGAAGCACGTATACCAGACCTTAATTCAATTATCACCACGCGTTCTCAAGACCCAACCTCATCCTCACGCTTCACTCACCGTGCGTCAGGCCATTCTCTATCCGAAGCTCTCAATGTGGCCGGTGTCGGGATTGCACCGAGAGTTTACTTCCTGACTGGATTCCGGTTTATAGCCGATCGTACGCTGTACATTTGGATGGTTGAACACGGGTCACCAGCTGCGGAACGAAGCGTCGGTGCCTACTCGTACTGTCCGTGTATGCACCAACCGGTTGCAGTTCACCCGAAATACTGAATGGATTCTACAAGGCCTTCTCCCAACTGCTGCAAAGTTCTCGGTCACCGGACATCGTTGTGGCCCTTGAGGATTTAGCCGCCCAAGTGGGATCCCTGGACGAATCAGAAAGTTTTCTCATTGGTCCACATGCGATCCCAGTCAACTGGACGGACAACAGAGATCACCTAATTCAACTCTGTACGGACTACGGATTGTTCCTGTCAAGCACCAACTTCTCGCACAAGAAACGAAACCGCCAACCTCTTTATAGCGATGTACTCAAATGGACCATATCGCCATCAGCTACCGCTCTTACTGGTCAACACCCATAGACACGGACCACCCGCGAAAGTTTCACTATGGTCGGGAGTTGATGTCGATGGTTGTGGCTGGGCACTCTTCTCTTTCACCTCGCAA